CCCCCCTTCCTTCCATCTTGCCTTCCCTCCTTCCTTCCTTTCTCTTGCTCTTCTTGTCAAATAGTTACAGAAACTAGAAAAAAATAATGTAAAAGTCACATATGATTGGTACTCTTACATTTGAAATCTCAATGTAGTATTTGGTTCTTTGTCAGTGAAGCTTTACTAGGCTCCTTATATAAGGCATCTTGCCCTATTAGTGGCAACACCATGGACATAAACGGAATACCCATCTCTAGATCTAGAAGAAGATTTGACTCCTTAATGGCAAGATGCAGTAAGCAATCATGCTTGCTAAATACGTTTCCTCTCTCTGCTGCTCCTGAGAAAAAGTGTTTCTCTATGAAATTTACTTAAACCAACTCTATTGAGACATCTATTTATTCATTCTTAATATGCTAGAACAAAGAGAGCCTTGATAATCCCTCTGTCACAGTCACAAGATCATAAGGAAGACGGTACTTTATTCTACGTTTGTCAGCGTGAACAAAGGCTTCTAATTATTTCCAAAACAGATTCTCATTTAACTTTTTTTAAAGCCAGTTTGAATTGACATCATGCATAATGGATGTGCTTGTAACTGAAATATTCTCTGACTTACTTGCTTTGATAAATCTTGGGTCCCAAACCACAGGATTTAGCAAAGCTTATTTAATTGCAGAAATACAATTTTTCAGCCTAGTTTTAAAATCCCCTGATAGCCTCAGAGCTACAGGGCACTGGCCTAAGGGCCTAAGGTGATACAAACACAAACAATATATGGTCACTAACTATAAGAAGCTTGTCATTTAGTAAGGGACTAAGACAACATGACCCCAAATGAGGCTCAATAAGAAAACTGTCATGGAAAGGTTCAAATAAAGAGTAGTGGCAGATCGAAAGTGAGACCCTCAGGACGAAGACTAAAGTGCAGGCATTAGGAAAGGCTTCGAGGAGGGAGATTATGGGTACCTGCTGTGAAAGTAAGATGCCCATGACAGCTTTGAGGACCTGCATCCTTAGGAAGAAATATTGCTCTATCTGTTGATTCCTCTCCTATTTCTTTCATCTTTGTGTTGTTTTGAATTATATTAACATTAATAGTGTTAGTTTTAGATGTATCCTTTAAAAATTTACCTCACTACGTGAGGTAAACAACTGTCCATAAAACCTGTTCATTCAAAAATCATGACAACCGGGGCGGGCCTGGGTGGCTCAGATGGTTAAGCGACCGCCTTTGGCTCAGGCCATGATCCTGGAGTCCCGGGATCGAGTCCCGCATCGGGCTCCCTGCTCAGCAGGGAGCCTGCTTCTCCCTCTGCCTCTCTCTCTGTCTCTGTCTCTTATGAATAAATAAATAAAATCTTTTAAAAAATCATGATAACTTCTATAAGGGCTAACGTTCTCAAATACCTTTGTTGAATAAACACTTTTGCCAAGGTAGTTATAATTTAAGGAGGAGATTTAAAAATTTGACAAAAATTATTTTCAAGTATTCTTAAAAACTTTTAAAATTATACATACATGATCAAATAATCTAAGCACATGTAATTTGTCTGTGTCTGTTTCAATGGTTCATCTAAAAACCATTGAATAAATGTTATAGTCCAGTTTTAGTTACCAGATGTTCTTAAAGTAATTAATTATTCTGCATTTCTTTTAATATATTGTATAGAATTTAGAGTTTTCTCAGGTCCTCGTGGGTTCTCCCATTTAATCTGACATAGTGAACATTACTGGATATATGCCTTGAAAACTCATATTCTCAGGTTTATAGGTCATGCAATAGTCCCCGAAAGACTCCTCCAATCCCCAAGAATGACTGGTGCCTGACCTTTCTGTCTTCTTCATAAGTAGACTTATGATCTACAACAGCTAATGGAGGTTCATGTACCAAGTAAGAAAGCTGAGACTTGGAGCGTTCTCGGATTGAAGCTCTGCAAATAAACAGAAACATGAAAGAGTCTGTAGATTATGGGCAGGTTGGAACAGGACTTAACTCTTGTTCAAGCTTACATCACACGTATCAAATAAACAGGAATGTTTGACAGGTCACATCGCAACCAGGTAAGGGAGCTTCCTGTTTAGGTTTCACAGAACTATTCCTATGGCGTAGCTATTTCAATTGGATCCTCTGAGTCCCGAGCTAGACTCTGACTCAGAGTGTGCTCAAGGAGGGAGGGAGAGGAGAAGAAAGCTGTCCCACCAGTCTACCAACAAAAGGTCCAAGATTCAAATCCATTCCAAATCCACACGGTCTGCTAATTGCTACCATGGCAACGGCCCAGCGCCTTTACCTTCCTTTTGGTTGTAGGTTGTAGTTTTGATACCTCTTTCTTTCTATAGTTACACCTGATGTTTACTTTAGTGTAAGGCCACCTGGATACAAATGAGCTAGTAGGAGGAAAACAGGGCCCCTACTGAGATTTTCTTTCTTCTTTTTTTAAAAGATTTTATTTATTTATTTGACAGAGAGAGAGAGAGAAAGAGAGAGAGAGCAGAGCAGAGGAAGAGGGAGAAGCAGTCTCTCTGCTGAGCAGGGAGCCCGATGCGGGGCTCAGTCCCAGAACCCGAGGATCATGACCTGAGCCAAAGGCAGATGCTTAACTGACTGAGCCACCCAGTCGCCCCCCCCAAGTGAGATTTTCTTTAGGCTATGTACTGCCCCTAGAAATGCATTTAATTAACAAATATCTTATTGAAATAAAATTTATTTGATTCGTTTATTCATTTAACAGAAGCGTATTGGGCATCTATGACATGCAAGCCAATGCCAGGTGTGGGGATTACAGAGACTGGTCAAACACAGACTTCACCCTCAAGGAGTTTAAAATCTTACAGAAGAGCAAAACATGTACTCAACCCTAACCCTGTAAGGAAGAAATGTGCTAAGTGCTATAAAGCAGGTTTGAATAGAAAGTACGAAAATTTAAAGGAAAAAGAAACATATGGCACGTGTTCCCATGAAAGGCATCATGGAAGAGGTGGCTACGGTAGGACTTGGGTATTTGTAGGAAGAGCATTTCTGATGGAGAGGATAATATAAACCAAAGCATGGAGACAGGAGAGAACAGGGTTCCTTAGTACATATACTTAGTGTAGCACAGACATAAGAAATTGGTTCAGGTGGTTTTGTCTTTTTCCTGAGATTTCTGAGAAGGAGACTCCTACTTTCATCTAGGTTAAACGTGAAAGTAGGTAGCGCTAGGAGTTGCTGGCAATTATGTCAAGACCCTCAAGGAAAGAAGCCTCCTGAAAAATAAGGCAAAAAAGAAGGGGGGGAACAAAGCAGAGCTGAGAAAGAAAGAGAAACTGCGTGCATCTCGGACACCTGATTAAAGCCCCAGGTTTGCCTGAAGCTAAGACATCCTTGGACTACTTCGTCAGGTAAACTGATTCTCTTCCTGGTTGAGTTAAGTTTCCAGTCATTTGCAAAAGTGGTAAGAGGCAATGCTGAAGACGAGAGGAGGGCATTACATTATCAAAGCACCTAATCTGCAGTAAAAAGGTGTAAAGAGAGAGACATAGAGCCAAGGATCTAGATGGAACCATCCACAAGTCCCTCTCCCTCATTTGTATCCAGGTGAAGACAAATGTCAGGGGCTGCTTGCTTATGACACATGTTCATCTGGCCTTCCTGAGGAGGCACTAACACCTTCATTCCTCTGCTTTGTTCCCACGTCCTGTTGGTGGCACTGCCACCTTCTTAGTCACCCAGGTTCAACAGGTGCATGTAGCTCGAGTCCTTCCTCGTCCTTGCTCTTGCACATTCACACTCTTGCCACATCTCATGATGATCGGGCCTGGAACCACTGCTCACCCCACCTCCCTGCTATCAAACTGCCGACTGGGACTCCCCAACTCCCTCCCGCCTGGCTCGAGACTCTCCAGCAATAGAGTTGCTTCTTTGGGTTAGTTAACTAAGGTCAAGAAGTCTTCTTCAGAATGCACGAGGAAGAGGCGTGTGTCAACCGGACAGAGCAGAGTACATGGTAGGGCTGAGATGTAAGGTCATGGGCCTAGAGAGACTCCCAGAGCACAGGAAGCCACGGTAGAGTATGTGGGAAAGGAAATATGGTTGACTTCCTCCCAGTCTTGAGCACGGCAAAACATATACCCTTGTTCCTTCGGGTTTCTACTACCTGAATCCTTCACAGACCATGCTACCTGTCTAGCATAGCCTGTCCCACTGAAAACCTGGGCCCACCTGGCAGCTCCCTCTGGTCCACCATAAGCACCAGAGTTAGAATTCTATCACACGCCTTTTTAGAAACTGACAACATGAGTCACATGGGTGGCTCAGTCGGTTAAGCGTCTGCCTTCGGCTCAGGTCATAATCCCAGGGTCCTGGGATTGAGCCCCGCGTTGGGCTCCCTGCTCAGCGGAGAGCCTGCTTCTTCCTCTCCCTCTGCTGCTCCCCCTGCTTGTGCTCTCTCTCTCTGTGTGTCAAATAAATAAGTAAAATCTTAAAAAAAAAAAAAAGAAAGAAACCGACAACATAGGCCAGTCCCTTTCTCAGAAGCTGTGTAGCACTTTTCTCCGCAAATAAAAACAGCTAATTCGGGGACTAAATAACTCTCCCACTTTCTCTCTCTCTCTCAACATTATTATTCAGGAAATTAGTTCCTGTTATCCATTAAATTGTTCTTGAACCCAAAATATATTACTAAAGAGAGACTGAGCTGTCAGAAAGACCAAAGCCAAGGAAATAAGATATAAATTAACATTTAATTTAGTCATCATTTAGCAAAAATATCTGTCAGCATACACAATGAGATATTTTTAACAGACCTTCCTACTTAAACTTATAAATCTTTCTCTGCAGGAGGTTAATAGCTACTTTCTGGGTATAGATTATATTTCTGGATTTCTCGTCCTAGTCACCAAAATGTAGAATTTGTGAGAATTAATAGCCAAATAGGAAATGTTTATATTAAAAATGGTTACTTGGTCCTAATAATAAACTGTAAGTAAACTACTTAAAACAAGTAGAATTTTGTGCATCTGAAAAGTTAAGAAAATATTTATTTTCTTGTTGACATGATGATGAAATATATCACTTCCTCTTTACAACCTTTAGCCCAGTAATCAAAAGAGGTGCCTAGCCATGTTCTGTGTTTAAGAAGGTAGTCAGTATCTTCAGGTTGTGATTCCAATGACCCTTATAATTTTTTTCCTCCAATCAGAGAAGCATGGTTAAACATAATGCCTAATATCTATAAAAATCACCTAACAATTTTGGCAATTTTTTTAGCTTTTACTTTACAGAGTAACTTGAAGTTATTGCTTTATTATTTTCCAAATTCAATAAATTTGATAAAACCAGCATTTCTTGAAATTTTTATGAATAGACTTATTCTCAAAAGGAAAAATAAAAACTAAGCATAAGCTCAGTGAACTATTCTCTTTTTTCTTTTTGAGTATAGTTGATATACAATGTTACATTGGTTTCAGGTGTGCAACATAGTGATTCAACAACTCTATATACATTATTCTTTGAATATTAAAGATAAATCTGTGTTTGAATTACTTGGGGTTGTTACCTAAATGTTTTATTTTAAGCCTCTTTAAACCAGCTTTCAATAAGCAATATACTACTTTGAAAAAGCAAGTCTTATAACTGAGCCTTTGCCCAGAGTACAGCCTTGAATTAAACATCCTAGAAATGGTAAAGGCGACAGTAAGGAAATCTGCTGTCACCCATTGTTTATGAACAGCCTCCTAACTTAGGGAAAAAAATCTTAAGTAATATCTTCATGAAGAGAGATACTCTTGGGCAGAATTCTTCCTAATATGCAGACTTTTAACGTTAAAGGAATTTTTTACTGAAACTCTTAAGTCAGGATGAAAAACTAAAACTTACAATCTTGCTAATAGCATATTCCAAAAATATGTTTGAAAGTCAATACCCCTATATTCATCCACAAAATAAATAAATAAATAAATAGCTGGGGTTTAAGGAAATTCTTTTCAAATGCTAAAAAAAAAAACACTTCTTTTTTCATCTAGTTAAGTAATGATTTGAATTCAGATGGGTCACTCTGGAAGCAGGAATATTTGTATTTCAATTGCAGCTCAGCAAGTGAAAGAATGGCCCTAAAACCATGAACTTCACCTCCATGTAAAACAATGGTTTATACCATGGTTAGATCTAGGGGACAAGACCAAACAGATTTTTTAAATACCCTTTCTAAGCTCAATTAACAACATTTTAATTATAAAGCATCTCTGTCATGACCCTACCCACAATAAGACAAGAAGCTAAAGTTAAACAAAAAATCCCCATGAACTGGAAACAGAAAATGTCAATATAGCAACCAAGGATTCATTTGCACATTCATATCACATGAAACCTGGGGCTATGCTCAAGGCTATCCTGGTTTTACCTGAGATATTGCCTGAGGATCATAGGTGCAGAGGGCTCCTAAGAATATTTTTAAAACCTTAACATCTGCCCCATGCCTTCAACTTACCTTAAACTAGCCTGGTAGCTCCCTCTGCAAAAGGTCTGTTTGTTGTCAAGTGAGGCCCCGTCCATTTTATCTTCTCCTATTCAACAGAACATGAACGATTCCTTAGTGTATACAATAAGGAGAACCATATCAAAAGAAAACTTCTTACTGTGCTCTTGCCTAGCCTATCATTACTATGTCTGATGCTAAAACATTCTATTAACTTCATTGTGGCAAATAAAACTTAACGCGTATCCAGCACATTCTAACAAAAATAAAATGTCAAGATACTCAGCAGGGGGTGCCTGGCTGGCTCAGTCCAAAGAGCATGCAACTCTTGGACATGGGGTTGTGAGTTCCAGCCCCACCTTGGGCATAGAGATTACGTAAATAAATAAATAAATAAATAAACTTAAAAAAATACTCAGGATTGAATTTTTTGAGCTGTGTGATACCCCCTGTGTTATCTCCAACAAATAGATATCTGAAAGAATGAATCATAAAAAACTAAAGGGAAACCCACTAGAGGTCATTTCTATGGTAGATTCACCAAATTAAAAAAGAAAAAGAAAAAAATCTTTTCAGAAGAGATCACATATGTTAAATATACACAGTAGTTTTACCCGGTGGGGTTCACAAATCGAGATGTGGTATGTGGTATGGTAGAGAAAGTTTGAAGTGGTGGTTGGTTAATGTAGGTTGGGATAAGTTACCAAATCTGAAAATTCAAGCTAAAAAACAAAGGATGCACTAGGGCCTGACGTATCTATTTGCTATTTGCTTTAATGAAAATGAGCAGTGTTTAGTCACTGATTGATTTACTCAATCAGCAAGAATAGAGGTCCTACTGGGCGCCGGACACTCTAGGAAGGCTTTCCGATTTGCAAAGTGGGGAGAGGAGAACAAAGGGGGTGGCTTTAAAATCATCTTCCCCAGAAGACCTGGGTTTTAGCTCTCTGACTCGATCAAGTAACTGAACCTCCTGAGATTCTGTCCTTTCTCTTACCATCTATATAATGCCTCCAAGGGCTTTTGGGGGAACAACTAAGACAGTGTTTATTAAAATGTATAGAAATCCACGAAACTATGAGAGCTAACAAACATAATGCTCTACAGAATGTACAAGTGTAATGGAAAAGACACTTGCCTTTTATGCCTTCTACGTTAGCAGCCTGATCACCTTGACTCTGCAAAGTCACTAGAGTGAAGTAGACTCCTTTCCGTTCCAACAGTTCCTCATGGGTGCCTCTTTCCACTGCTGTACCATGTTCAAAACCAATAATGACATCTGCAGCTCTGACTGTGGACAGGCGATGAGCAACTGAAATGATCGTATGTCCCTGCTGAATCTGTAAGAATGTACATTGCACTGTTAACCAAACAGTAAGACAGAGCTGACATTGACATTTGGATGGTCTCAGAACCCACAAGTGATCAGAGCCTGGGTCCTTGGGAAAACCCTCAAATAGGCACTCTGCAGACATTAGAAAAGGCCGGCGCACTTTGTCAAGGTCATGAACACCCCACACGTTGGTCCAGTTGCTGCTATTAATCAACAGCTAAAATCAAAATTGAAATTTTTGAAATCACATATTATAAGTTAGATTTAATAAGATTTAAAATTTTGCATTTGTTGCTTTTGGAAGCAAGCCATTCTGACTTCTATTCAACTGTGAGGAGCAGTCTAAGTCGGTATTTTCTAAACAGTCAGACTGGAGACACTGACCCATGTAGTCCTTCTCCTTCCCTCCCCTTCTCCATCCCTCCATTCCCCCTCTCCCTCCTCTCTCAGTGAGCTGCCTTTCCTACAGCACATTTCCACATGGTCTTGTAAAATGAACTCAGACTTTCAACAGACCTTACTCAGTGCCTCTTGTACCATGGCTTCACTCTCGTTGTCCAGTGCCGAGGTGGCCATGTCCAAAAGCAGGATCTTGGGGTTTCGGACAAGGGCTCTGGCAATGGCCACTCTTTGTTTCTGGCCACCACTCATCTGGCCTCCTCCCTCTCCGACAAGAGTGTCAAATTGCTAGGAAGAAGATGACACCGGTAATGAAGATGAACAATTTGATGGCTCCTGGCAGTGATCATTACAAGATCCTTTCTAGCTCCCTTCTCAAGCATGAATTTTCACAGGCGCAACTTTCACTGAAAGAAATACCCTTTCCTGAAACAGGTTACTATCTGATCAATATTTGTGTGTAAGATAAAGAAACTGATTTATTCTTGGGGCGCTTGAGTGGCTCAGTCAGTTAAGCGTCTGCCTTTGGCTCAGGTCAGGATCCCAGGGTCCTGGGATGGAGCCCCACATCGAGCTCCCTGCTCAGCGGGGAGCCTGCTTCTCCCTCTCCCTCTGCCACTCGCCCTGCTTGTGTTCTCTCTCTCTCTCTGCCAAATAAACAAATAAAATCTTTGAAAGAAAAAAAAGAAACTAATTTGTTCTTTCATTCCCGGGTTCACTGGGCTGTATAACTGTTTCTCCCTAGCTCAACTTCAAATAAAATGTTTTCACCAAAGTAGGAGCACCTGGGTGGCTCAGTTGGTTAAGCATCCGACTCTTGATCTCAGCTCGGGTCTTGATCTCAGAGTCCTGAGTTCAAGCTCTGTGTTGGGCACCACACTGCGTGTGGAGCCTACTTAAAAAAAAAAAAAAAAAAAGTTTCCACCAAAGTAAAGGTTGATCAGGGTCCTGAAAACCCATTTTAAAGGGTTAAAACACCTATCAAATTCTTCCCTCTTTTCTCTAGCTAAGCAACACAGAAAAAGAAATATTAAAGCTGTCTCTATATTACCAATGAAAGATCAAGCTGGCTGTACAATCATTACCATCGACAGCAAAAAGTTACTGAGTATCTTTCATGTCTAGCATTATATTGGAATCTCACAATGATGTCAGGCTCTTGTCTTGTTTATTATTAGCCAACATGAGTTGAGCATTTACCATGTATAAAGCATGAAGTTGAGCTCTTTACACATATCACCTCATTAGTTCTCCCAGATGCCCCATGAGGCAGGTACTACTGTTCTCCTCAATCAACGGGTAAGGAAATGCTGGGGTGTAAGGGGCTAAAGTAACTTGCCCAAGTTTATAGAGCTTGCAAATGGAGAAGCTGGGATTTTCATGGAGGCAGTCTGATTCCAAAGCTTTATACTCTTTACCACTGGACTATATCATACTCACAGCTGCAATCCTATTCACACAGGTAATCTAGAAGGCTGAATAGGAAATGATCTAGAGCACAGACTCTGGAGCCAGACTACCTGGATGTGAACCTTGACTCTCCTGCCTTGAGCAATTTATCTGACTTCTTGGAACCTTAGTTCTCTCTTCACAGATGGAAATAATAATAGTAGCTGCCAGCAGGATGGTTGTGAGAGTTAAATGAGATGTAAAGTGCTTAGAACAGTGTCCGGTAGGTAGTAAGCACTATACATATGTTAACTGGTAATAACAGCTCTTCTTTGACTTAGGAGACCATTTGACTTAGCAGCCACAAAATACACATAAGTGTAATAATATAGAGTTGGTTTTTGTTGTCATTGTCTAAAATGAAGATAAATGAGGAATTTTTGAATATGTGAGATACAGTACTGAGGCCACAGAATTAGCTGCCTAAGCCCAAGAAAATGAAAGAACAATGACACTGGTAGGCATCAATGAACATTGTGTAAGTCATTGCCACATAACAAATTTATCAATTGCTTAGACAAATGCTCAACAGATGGAGTAAGAAGATTGTACCTCTGTCAAAGGGAGCTTTTAAAAGAAAGTTCCCCTGTTTGTAGATTTTAATATATCAACAACAATATGCTTTCAGGCAAAGGAGAAAACTCATGGTACATTTCCAGGAATGAAACCTAGCATGGCATTAAGAATTTAATGATTTGGGATTCAAATGGAAAGAAATGTATAGTATCGTGTAACTTTTTCTTTTTCCTTTTACAACTTTCTGAGTTCTGCTCCCCCACCCCACCCAGGATGAGAGGCCAGGGGTACCTGTGGCAGATCCATGATGAAGCTGTAGGCATTGGCTGCCTTGGCAGCTCGAACTATATCTTCCATTGTTGCGTCCTCTCTGCCATAACGAATGTTCTCTGCAATGGTGGTGGAGAACAGAACGGGCTCTTGCTCCACCAACCCAATCTGAGCTCTAAGCCACTGAATGTTAAGAGAGCGAAGGTCATGGCCATCTAAAGTCACCTAGAGACCATAAGCACAACGTCACATCTCTTGGAACCCTTCAGGGTTCTGAATCAAAATGTTATGTTCTACTTGACCTATGGGGAGAAATAATAGAGACCCACAGGATTATAACAGAAATCATTCCTCCCATAATGAGGTTGTTTATATAGGAGTGTTGATATATAGTTGAAATCAAGTCTAGCTGTAGAACAATTCGTTGTAAAAACACAAATGATATAAAGGTCAACTAATGTAATATGACTGGCCCAAGAATGGAAAAAAAAGGGGCGCCTGGGTGGCTCAGTTGGTTAAGCGACCGCCTTCGGCTCAGGTCATGAAGAATGGAAAAAAAAATCTAATTCTTCAATAGAGTCAAGTCAGTTATTCACCATACTTTATACATTTTTATTATCGTTTGACTTCTGACCTAAAATGGACTTTAAAAGCTACAAAGGAAAGAAGACATGGTCCCTATCGTGTAGGTATGGTTTACAGTAACTCTTACTTTCTGGCTGGATTCATCAAATAGAACTTTACTGTTCAAAAGTAATTGAAAATGTAAATGGGATAAACAAAAATCACTATTAGCAAAAAAAGTAAAAATCTTACATCAAGAGACCATGATTTCTATGTATTCAAGAGTATAGTTATGCTGGTATGTAGCAAAGAATACCTGTAGGATGAACCGTCCATAACAAAGAAACATTCCATTATGTTTGTCATGTCAGTGTAACAGCACACCCATGACAGGGAACGCCTTGCATTGAAGCCACTTGATACACACTCAGATGATTCTATCTCAAAGCATCAAGGAGATGTTGACAAGAATGACTTGGAGAGCGTAGAAAGAGCAGAGCCTTTGACATCTCAGGGCCCTGGGTTCAAATCAGAAGCAGGTCTCAATCTCTCTGACTCTGCTTCCTTTTCATAAAATGAGCATATATACCTTGGGGCTCATTTTGAAAATAAGTAATCATCTTCACAAAGTACTTGACATATGTGATAAACAAATGGCAATGGTGGCTATTTATTTTCTTAGTTTCAGTCTATGTTTATAAGCAAGTAAACACACAAGGAGAAAAGAGATGAAGGAGTTGGTGAAATTATATGATTTGTCTTTAAAACCTAAATTCTCAAAGCAGTCATCATTCATTCATTCATTCATTCCAGCCATGCAACTTTTCCTATACTTGGCATTTGGAAAACTTGAAGAGACAATAATGATTTTGTTACAATACAAAGAAGGAAATGGAAATGCGAAGTCACTGACGAGGCAGCAACACCATTTTGAATGTGTGTGCACATCCCTGAGCAAACGGGCTGGTCGTTCATTGAACACGACCGCCGTGCAGGGAATCAGTCCAGTCAATTCAGTCAAAACCTCAGGAAGTCAATTCTGTGTGCGTCAGGACGGTCTCTGTGTACCCTAGGCCTTTGTGCTTGACCAATGTATCCCCATTTGCACTCTCCCATCCCCATGCATTGAGAGGCTTCTGGAAGACACCCACCATGCCTTCACTGGGGTCGTAGAAACGCTGAATAAGCTGCAAGGCTGTACTTTTCCCGGATCCACTGGATCCTACCACAGCTGTCATTTCCCCTGATTTAACGACCATGCTGAGGTTATCTAAAATCTGTAGAGAAAAGAAAAGAACAATGTTCAGATTGTCAGCAATTAGACTTGTAAGTTAGGATGCTTTGTGATGAAACTCTGTATGTATTTACTTATGCCCTCAAAGCAGTAACTATCAATATCTGTCAATAACCAGAAAATCAGCAAACAGTGCCTATGATGAGGTTTTAGCATTTAGCACATTACTCATTAATAAATTGATAGTGGCACCCAAGAAAGAAAATGATGTGTGGTAACACTGTTGAAGTAAATAAACCACGCCAACTTGTAAAAGTATGCTCCAGAATCCACATTTAAAACATTTCTGATAGGGATGCCTGGGTGGCTCAGTCGATTAAGTGTCTGCCTTTGGCTCAGGTCATGATCCCAGGGTCCTGGGACCCAGCGCCTTATCAGGGAGCCCACTTCTCCCTCTGCCTGCTGCACCTCCTGCTTGTGTTCTCTTTCTCTCTCTCTGACAAATAAATAAATAAAATCTTTTAAAAAAAATAAAACACTTCTGATATACTAGGATGCCTCAAGGAGACTGTCCCAATTAAGGAAAGAAAGCCATTAAGTTAGAAATACAATACTAATTTACTGATCATGGATTAACAATAAACTAATGTACAAATTTTAAGCTGTCATACACTTGTATTGCATGTGAACATCTTATCTGAAAAACTTTCCCTAACAAATGTTTGTGATGTGTTTATTAAGTTTAAAGCACTGTTAAAGGTAGAGACTGAATGCTGGTAGGTCTAGAAAGGGAAGAACGGGAATCTAATTCAGAAGCATCTGTTGGATATTTTCACCAATTCAGTGGTGATTTTTATACCTCTTATGTAAAGGTGGTTTGGGGTCCTTTGTGTGACAGAATCTCACGTCTTTCATTTCACACTAGAGAGTTAGGCTTGCAAATATACTTTCATTTACTGTAATCTCCCCCAGGGCGGGCAAGCGTAGTGTGTGCTTTTTCTCATTATAGCCCGGGACGTGCGGCACCCAGCAGGGCTGAGTACATATAGGTGTAAGTAAGAAGATTTTATTAAAATAAACCACTGGTGTTGGGAATAGAGGATAAAACAGAAATGAAATAAATGTGTTTTAATTCAACTGGTATTTATGAAACAGCTATTATGAGCTAGTTCTGAACAGATTTTCTAAAGCAAGTTTTAGCCATCCATTAAAAAATCTTTACTGAGTACTATCTTGTGGTTTATCTTTCACAAGGTACTTTGACATATGTTGTGACATTTAATGTTTCCATACATATGTGATATGTAACAGTAATAGAAAATATACTTCAGCAATTTAATCAGAATATATAGGTACCTGTGTTTTATATATATATATATATATATATATATATAATGTATGTGTGTGTGTGTATGTATGTGTTTACCTATGTTTTAGGTATGTAGTATCAGAATTAAGTTGCAAGGGATTTAGTTCCCATAACAGAAATATTAAAAAAGGGTGGCTAGAGGTATTCTTCTTTTTTTTAAGATTTTATTTATTTATTTGACAAAGAGACACAGTGAGAGAGAGAACACAAGCGGGGGAGTGGGAGAGGGAGAAGTAGGTTTCCCGTGGAGCAGGGAGCCCGATGAGGGGCTCGATCCCAAGACCTGGGATCATGACCTGAGCCGGAGGCAGACGCTTAACGACTGAGCCACCCAGGCGCCCCGGCTAGAGGTATTCTGTTAAAAAATTAGGAATAAATCTCATTTCGAAGTCAACCTACTCAAGGAGAGTAGATCCTAATTTTCCTATAGATGAAATTGCCTTTAAAAATACTTGCTCTGTAGGTACAGGAAAACTAAATGTTCTTCCGCATGTGCCCTGGACAATTACCTAGCCCAAGACACATGAGCATGAGGCCACAAGATTACCCTTCCTCCAAAGACTGATCTAGTGACCCTTGTGAACTTACAGATAGGAAGCGAAAAACTACAAAGGCAGCAGCTTTTCTTTGCCAGAAGTACCCTACCCGCTCAGTGTTCCGCCTTCTGCATCTGTACTTCTGGATTGTTCTGATTGCCTTGCAGTTTATTCAGCTTATGCTTACAATGACAGGCCCTGCCACTCATTTCAAAGAGGATCGTACTTAATTTGACCTAACCTGAATGGGTTGCCAGACTGTGTCCTCCCCAGAGGGATTTGCACATTGTCTACTACAAAGGAATGTGACTTGTTGCCTAAGAAATGACATGATGCCTAAGGGTACTTCTAGACAAACGTGCTTCTATTCCTTCTTCCTGCAAACTGTCATACTTCAGAAAAACAAGTAAGTTGTGGCCCTGGATATGAATCATCAAAGAAGAAAAATGCCGTCATTCCTAGAGAAAAGATGAACACTTACCTTCACCTCTGGTCTGGAAGGGTAGTGGAAGGTCACATTATGGAATTCAATTTCGCCCTTAATTCGATCCAACTTGTAACCCTCCTCTGACATGCAGTCAATGATGGGTTTCTGGAGTAGAATATAAAAGGAATATAGCTACAACAAAGGTATATGCATCTGTTGTCCATCCTGGTTTGAATTTACTCATAAAACAGAACAACAACCAGGTAAAACACTGCACCAAAGTTGCTTCCAGATTAAATATTTATCAATAATAGTAATAATACTAACATTTACTGAGATATTAATATGACATATTATATTACTAGATATGAATAGTATTAGCATATCATATTACACACATAATATATTAATAGATAACCAAACATACACAAAGAATTAATACATAATTAATTATAATGAATATGAAATAAATGTCAATATATAATTGACATATGCCTTCACATTAATTAAATGGAATTAACTTAATTATTATTACCATTTGTTGATATATTGCTATGACATATATTATTATATAACAATATAATAACAATATATAACAATATTATAATATGTAGTATTGATCTATAGTTATGTTAGTATATAATATATTATTATTATGTATTATTATATTATTGCAATACCATGGAAGAAAATTTACAATTGTCTTTTTTCATTTATGTAATTGTCACTATAACCTAACTAGACAGGTGATACGCTCAGTTGTTCGTTGAGGAAGTAGAGAACTCTCAGAGAGGTTAAGTATCTTTCCTAAAGCCACACAACTAGTCAGCCAAGCTGGAGTCCAATAGTACTCTACATCTGAATACCTATCGTAGATGATAATTAAAACTAACTGAATGTCCTTAAGTGGTATCCTCAAATACTACCAACCTTTAGTTGTTATTCTGAATTTCACCTCTGTTGTTGTTAGTGTGAGCCTAATCTAGAATTTAAACATTCTAGTTAATCAGACAAGAATGAGGGCTACCCCCTGCCACCAGAACACTCCAGGGTCAGCTTCTTCTCCCTTCTACACTTGTGAGAGAAATTCATCATCATATCTCTATCTGGGGCAATAGTGTAATCTACTTTCTTCCTCTTGGGTCTCTCGTAAAGATAATAAAGTAATTTTTAAAGGCCTTAGTTTTTTGTAATAGCTTCAAAGGCCTTTTAGACTCGTCATCTTATCTGAGCATATAATAACCCTAAGAATGAGGTAGAATTTGGATAACTCAATGTGTCTATGTGGTTTTCAACAATCTGTTTATACTGCAATATATGAAGCCCCAGATATAAAACAGATAAAGCGATGAACAGTCTCCTCACGCAGGTTTTATGCTTCATAAATACTGAAGATTTAGGGGACCAAAGAAACACTTCCGGCTTTCCATGGCTTCCAGAGAGGAAGAACAACATCTTGCCCGCTTCCTCCTTCTATTCTCAGATTTTGACTTTCTAGCTGGATCTCCAATGCGCTTCAGTAGATTAAATCCTAGCTAGGCTACCAGAATCCTTTACAAGCTTGTAGAAGCTTTCTGTCACAGTTAGAAGATAATCTAAACCTATGAACTTGGCTTTAAAGACCTGCATTATCTGGCCCCTTCCTCTCCTTCCAGCCTCTGTACTCTTGCTCACTCTGCTCAGACACACTGACCTTGTTTTAGGTCCTTGCATTCACCAATCCTTTTCCAACCAGAAGTGCTCTCTTCCAGGAATAGCCTCCCTGCCCTCACTTCCCACGCACGGCTCCTCCCCTAAACCTCACTTTGCATGGCTGACTCTCCCTGCGGTTCTCAGCGCAAATACTACCTCCTCAGAGATGATGTTCCCCTCACTTGAAGACTCCTCCCCTCACCCCAACCGTTACCACGCTATTTTATTTCCTTTATTGCACTGATATTACCCTAGCTTTGAATGTACTTCTTTTTTCAACTTTTATTTTTCACTGAAGTATGTTTGGTTTCAGGTGTACAGCATAGTGATTCGACAATTACATTACCAAATGCTCACCAAGATATGTGTAGTTACCTTCTGTCATACAAAGTTATTATGGTATCACTGGCTACATTCTCTATGCTGTACTTTTCATCCCAGTGACTTATTTATTTTACAACTGGCAGTTTATCCCCTTCACCCCAACCCCCTAGCCCCCTCCTCTCTGGAAACCACATTTGTTGTCTGTATTTATGAGTCTATTTCTGTTTTTTTGTTTGTCCATTTGCTTTGCTTTTTGGATTCTCCATATAAGTGAGATCATATGGTATTTGTCTTTCTCTGTCTGACTTATTTCACTCAGCATAATACCCTCTAGATCCATAAACGTGCTTACTTCTTTATTGCCTGTTTTCCAGTATGATAAGAGAGCAAGGGCCTTATTTGTTCTATTTCACTCCTGCAGTCCCATCTCACTATGGGGTCTGGCTGATGACAGCTCCTATTAAGTATTGCTGAATTAAGGGCATTGTGATAGCCCCTCATTTTTCTTAACATTGAGGGTAAATTCCTCAGAACTTCATTTTTCTCCCCACCCCCAACCTGTTCATGGCCTTTACTTTGGCTTTCACCTACCCGGTCTATTGTCTGAAAAATGCTGGTGGCCGCTGCACGCCCAGTCGCAAAGGCTTCCAGACAAGAAGATGCATTGCCAAGATTTAAAGCTCCTAATAGAATACTGAGGAAAATCTGAAATGAAAAGAGATAAACATAGTTTTCGTGTGTTTTTGTCAATTTGTAAATAGTGCCATCATTTGGGCTATCCACGTGAGCTCAGATATTTCTCAGAAATATTCTTCCATGGGAGTTTGAAAGCTAAATAGCTCTTTAGAAACACCTGGAATAGTTTTTGTTCTGCAAAGTATCTCCAATTTTTCTATTGTTATGGTTTAAAAGACTACATTATATTTAAATGAACATCTATGTGTAGAACACTACACTACAAGAGTGTAGAACAGTATTCTACAAAGAAGAACATATTTTGAAATGAGTATGAGGTCTAAGCAAGGCAGCATATAGACACAAAGTGAGTTAGAATAGTGATATGATAATTCAGTTTGTAATATAAACAGGCTTATATAGTCTTCTGGTTAAAGGGTAACTGAAGCAATGAAGACAGTGATCAGCTTGATTGCTCTAGAGATAGGTACAAGCAATATAGGTTTGCTACTATATTGTTGCTACTAGTAGACTATTACTAGGATAACTACCGCTATTACTACTACTACTACTTTTACTATTGTATATTTCTAAGTGCTTTACCTGTATTACTTCACTTAATCCATACAACAGAAGAGAAAACCAAGGTGTATGGACGTTCCCTAACTTACCCTACATTACAACATTTATTAAGTGGTAGAGCAGTATTTGAACCCAGGCTCTTGACTGACATTCTGTTTCGCAAACAGGCCCATCTGCTGCTGGTGGCATGCAGTTGGTATGGCGAGGTTCCTGGGCAATGCTGAGGAAACTGTCCTTTAACTCACCAACCCAGTCATCTCATTAAGTTAGGGGAAGGCGACTTGATCATGAGCAGATGTTCCTACCAAATAGCGCTCTGTGTTTATCAGTGCTGTTTATAAAGAAAGAAGCAATGAGGCAATTTGTCACGTGCCTCTAGGAGGAGCACAAGAGTTCTTTTGACCAAATGGGTGCTGGTCACATGATGCTTATGGGGGATGTTTCATTGACCACCATCCTTCATGGACCGGAGTTACTTGCTGAGCTGAAGATCGGCTGCTGCCTGAATGTAGTCTTCAGACAGTCAAATGAACCCAGTCTGTGATGGTTTCCCTGCTTTCTTTCGATCTTCTGTCTGGACCATGAGACTCCTCAGAGCCTCCCAGCTACCTCCCTTCGTCTTCAGTAACCTCCATTCCACATACCATGATGATGTACACCAGTGCCCTCCTGCCTTCTCCCTGAATTCCCCGCTCCATGTGTGGGACAAACATTCCCTTTTCATCTTTCTTGTTCCTTGTCCTGAATTACACAAAGTAGTTCCTCCTATGGGCAGATTACTTCATCTTTCAAGCCCCAATTTCTTTATCTGTAACACAGGGGTACTAAAAGCATACACCTCATGGGACTTTTATGAGCATTAAATGAAATAATTAGTTTAAAGGTGATGAATCCAGTGTTAGCCACATAAATAATAGTGATGTTGAAAGAAGCAAGATTCCACACTTAGGAAGTGATACAGTGAATAGACAGAACAGTACATCTCTAAATTGGGTTAAGACCACATTTATCAGATTTCTTTCCAACTGAGCAAAGGAAACCTTCCACATGTCCTAGATCAGGGGTGAGCAAACATTTTCTATAACACGCCAGAGAGTATGTATTTTAGGCTTTTTAAGGCCAAATGGGCTCCGAAGCAATTACACAACTCTGCTATGTACTACAAAAGCAGCCATAGACAATAGTGAACAGATAATTGTGGCTGTGTTCCAATAAAACTTTATTTACAAAAACAGGCATCAGGCTGGGTTTGGCTGGGGGATCATAGTTTGCTGACTCCTGCTCTAGATTCTAGGTTGAATCACTAGGGGCCTAAGCTGAGGTTTGCAATCAAACCCTGCTCAGCCTGGCTTTGCAAATGTCTCCCTCGGGGTACTTAGGGAAAGAGTGCGTGGGACAGGACAGAGGCCTATACCTAGTATCATCACAATGGCTAGCACCCATCCCAACAGACCATCATTTCCCACCCCAAACATTTCACTCTAGCCCCGTGGACAGCAGCGTGGGAGTGGGAAAGGCCCGGGAGACCACTGGGGAACAATCTATCTATGGGTGTGCTGTGTTGAGGAAAAGGTGGCTCCTTGGAAGTCAGATCCAGAGGCAGGAAAACAGTGGTTAATGAGTCAGGCCCCTGGAGGCACAGGCATGTGAGTTTATATCCCCCTCCATGCCTCTCAACACATATTTTTCAACCTCGTGGCTCCATTTCATTTTTAAGTGGTAGTACAACGACATCAGTACAGAATGAAGTTTTGCTATGACATATGGTATTTATATGAAATATGCTACTTAGTGCTTGACACCTTATACACACTGAATAATGTTACTATCTATTCCTGCTGTTATTTTTTATTATTGAGTCCTGAAACCTGGGGAGCACAACAGAGCAGCCTTCTGCACTCTTCAATTCCCTTTCATCTTCTCTCCTAATAGATCACAGGGTTTGTTTTTTGTCTGTGTACAGGTGATGCCAATCACAGTCATTTATGTGAACCACTTACCATGTATGCTCAATTACCATGCAGCCAATAATGATTTTATTCATCAAAAAATATATTCGGTTAACCTAATTGTTAATTACTTTAGTGGATTGATAACACTCAACTCAGCTCATGTATACTCAGACTTCATAGTTTGCTACTCAGAAGTATGGCCAAAGATGTGCCTGCAAACATGACTGAGAGAAAGAGAGAGATGGAGGGAGGGAGGAAGGGAGAGAAAGAACAATCAATGATTATACTGTTAATGGGGAGGTCTCTCATTTTCCCAAAGGGATCTTTCTTAAGGTGTAAGCAGAGGCTTGTAGGAAGGTGTTGGAGTAAGAGGTAAGGTTAATAATTGATGATTAAAATGTTAGAGACACATAGTATGTCACATCTGCACATAATAAGTACTCTCTCAGCCCAATTATTTACAGAAGGTATAGACAAGAGTGGACACTTGAAGCTGAGGAGTGTCAAATTCGTTAAACAAGGAGGCCATTAGGCTGAGGTTGATTTAATGCCTTAGTAGCCTGCATGAGCAAACCAAAACCTAAGCGCAAATGCCTCAAGGTTAGGACATCAAGAACCTAAGGGCAACCAATCACAAATGGTCAATTAAGCTTCCCCAGGCAAGGCAACTGCTTAAGCCAGAGCCAATCAAATCATTGTTTTGCTTTCCTTCTGCCTCTTCTCTATAAAAGTCTCCCCCACCTCCCACCCCCCGGCCTCTGTAGGTAGAGAGTGGCTTCTCATCACTTCTGGCTTGATGCTGCCTGATTGGAATTATTTTTGCTTAAAGAATCTCCTAAAAATTTTAGTATGCCTCAATTTATCTTAGAACCATAACACTGCATTCCTGCTAGAGAGAGTAACCAAGGCGTTTTTAAATTCAGTGTTTCCAACTAGAATTGTGTATTATTTAATTTTCAATTTACCAATTCATTCTTCCCTCTGAACTGTTATTTGGGCACACCTTTGTCCTCTCCTTGCAGTCATGGAATGACGGAAGGATGTCTTTTCTCAGCGCATGTTTTTCTGCAGAACGAGCAGATAGAAGCATCTGGGACTGCAGTCGACTGGTAAATGTTGAAAGTTATTAAGAGTCATTAGACCAACAAAGATGAGGGACTTTGTAGTCAGGTTTCTGACCTGCAATACTTTCACTGGATTTTCAAATGTGCAAAGCTATGTTAGAGTTGTTAAGAAAGTGCTTAAATTGTAATAACAGCAACATTTTCCATCTATACTATCCATTTAAGGTTCAAAAGACACTTTAACACGTCTTATCATATTTAATTTTTTAAAACAAGTTCAAGTGATGCCAATTGTTCATCTTGCAAAGAAGAACTGAATTTTAAAAAGTTGTTCTTAGTGTATCATCAAGCTGTTAACGAGATAAAGTCAGTAGCTTAGATTGACTATGGTTTGACCTCACCGCTGATAATCATTTGTAAATAAATACATTTATTTGTTTAATAAATTTAAACAAATAAATAAAATTCCATTCAACTTTCCCTAGAAATGTATTTATATTAAAGCAGTAGATCTCAAATTATAAGCTATCAGCTAGCAAATTTCTAGTAGATAAGATTTTGGCATTTTTCATTGTTTAATGAACAATGAAAATCTATCTCACCTAGAATCTTTTTTTTTTTTTTAGATTTTATTTATTTGACAGAGAGTGAGAGAGAGAGCTAGAGAGGGAACACAAGCAGGGAGAGTGGGAGAGGGAGAAGCAGGCTTCCTGCTGAGCAGGGAGCCCGATGTGGGGCTTGATTCCAGGACCCTGGGATCATGACCTGAGCCAAAGGCAGACGCTTAACGACTGAGCCACCCAGGCTCCCCCTCACCTAGAATCTTGAGCCAAAATATTTTATTTAAGAATCATATATGAAACTGCTTCACATCTCCATGCTTTAAAAATTAATATACTTAATTACGGGGCACCTGGGTGGCTCAGTCGGTTAAGCATCCGACTCCTGATTTCAGCTCTGGTCATGATCTCAGGGCTGTGAGATTGAGCCCTGCATCAGGCTCTGCCCTCAGTGCAGGGTCTGCTTGAGATTCTCTCTCTCTCTCCTTCCCTCTCCCTCTGCTCCTCCCACCCCTTGTGTGTGCGTGCTCGATCTCTCCTCTCAAATAAATAAATAAAATCTAAAAAAAAAGATTAATATATGTAATTAAATAATTAATAGGCCAAATGAAACATTTATTTCATGTTTTATCTCCCTGGCCTCCTGTGTGGGGGCAGGAAGCGGTGGGCACAAATGTAAACAAACCCAAATGGTCAATTTCATTCAAGGGCTCTGAAGGAAAAGTTCAGCAAGCCATACAAGAAAATAAAAGATTGGGTGAGCACGGGAGGTCTTACTGGGAAGGTGCTGTTGAGCTGAGAATTAGAACAATGACAAGAGTCCCACTGTTATGAGAGGAGCTGTAAGCTAAGGAGGAAAAACGTTGGGTTTGTGAGCCGGAAGAAGAGATTTCTCTGATCCTAGCCACACTCGGTTACCCTGCTATTCACTGCTAACATCCTTGTCTTCTATAGCATTGTCATTAGGCATTGATGTGGTTGTTTAATTATTGCCTCTCTTCCCCACTGATCTATAAATCACACCAGGAAAAGATCACATTTCTTTTGTTCACTATTGAATCCTCTGTGCTGGCATATAGTAGATGCTCAATAATTCTTGAAAGAACAACGGAAAAAATACAGAAAATTAAAGCAACCAAGGCATTCGTGATAGCATGGCTCTAGCACAAGTGAACAATAAAATAGGGTCGTATTACCTGTTCAGTTGAAGATATTATTGGCTTGGTATTTTAGTAACTCATCGTGTTTCACAAATACATCCATTAGCACATATCTTGTACTATTATTAAGCTTAAATACATGAGCTATTAATTTTTAGCTGAGAGATCCCTGACTTCCCATTATCGTGGCATATTATCTTTTGAACTCAGTCAGAAAATCATTGTTTTACAGCTATAGAATTTTTAGTTAAGCGGAAATCATTAAATCACTGGTCTCATCAATTCAAATGCTCAGTGTTCCTTTACTATAAAATGTGTAAGCATTGCTTGTTTCTGCAGATGGACTCCATCAACTCGTTGCTGCTTTCCTCCCTCAGACGCTAAATGAATAAACAAAATGCCTTAACTGTAGGTTTTTCTGAGATTCCAGCAGGAAAAGTTATGTTTAGGTCATTAAGATCAAAGTACCTGGACAAGGGTTCCTGGCGTATATTCTCCATCCTCTAGGACAAGTTTGGAGCCATACCAGAAGGCCAGTGCATAACAGAGGAAGATGAGACACCACATGAATCCAGTAAAGAATCCCATCACGATCCCTTTTCTAATTCCCCAACGCTGGGCAAACACAAGATTTTTCTCGTACCTGTGAAGAGAAAGCATTTGTGTCTACAGCAGCAGCAGCAGCAGCTCAAGTTAGAATGTTTAAATCAGCCACAATGCCGTGCTTTTACTCAATGGTCATAAAAATCACCCCAGACACACAGCAGCTTTCGGGAAAGAAAATGACAAACTTCCGTGTAGTTATTTAGCTTATTTCAACCTGGCAATGAAATGTGTTGAAGGAACAATGCCTAACCAAACCTCACGGCTGATTACTTCTTGGAAAAGAACAGTGTGAGAAAAGTGGGAACTTTACCCCAAGAGAAAAGAATTTTCAACACAAATGTTTGGACGTGAGGGATTTAGTACTATTTGTGCTTGGATTGTTTTTACCAAGTCACATGGCATGCTTTCTATCAGAAAATGATGCAACTTTTTCCCCCAGGTTCAGAACCAGTGTTTGCACCAACTCATCTCCGTACACTCACACCATCTGCCCTGTGACCAAGAATGCTATGTTGTAACATGACCGGTCAGGTTCACAGCCATGGGATACGGATAACTATGTAGAAATTCAATCTAAGCACTAGGCTGCAGTGATTCTATGATCTAGCCATTAATAACTGGCATTGTCTTGAAGTTCAGACATTCTGTAACTGCCTTCCTTCATCTCAAAAAATAAATTCATGGAGAACTTTTAATATTTTGCAGGACAAAGTGAAGGTCTATCCTATGTTCCATTTTCAAAACATTTACAAAGCTGCTATTAATAACAATAATGAGTATCTTTTGTGGTGGAGGAAGTATGCTACTGAAATTTTTTGTGAGAAACTAGGTAACTTCACTCTATAAACCAAAAGAAGGAAAACAAACAAACAAAAAAAAAAGGAAAAGAGAATAGAGATTGTAAATTCTATTCTCTTTTTTATTTGGTAACAATTGAGACTGACATCGTCATACTAGATCTCAAACTCATGAAATAAGAATTGAATTAAATTGGTGGCTATTTTATAAAATCAGTACCTGGCACTGGTACTTAAAAAATACTAGGTAAGAGGAAGAATTAACAAAATCAAATTCTCAACAACTGTGTTGTTTGGGTTTCATTAAGAATTAATCTTCTGGAATGATGGTCTGTAATATACCAACACTAAATTTTCTTTGAGTAAATGGAAATTTCATCAGACTTTATAAAGAGCATGTAGTACAGTAGCTGAATAAAAGACACTGAATAAAAATGTGGTGAACTGCATTTTAGGTATCTCGCAGCAAACAGTGTTACGGGCCATGAGGTATAATATGCATACATACCATGAGGTATAATATGCATACATATGCATACATACACACCACCAGAGTTGAAATAAATACCTAACCTAAAATGGCATTCTAAAAATCTCCAACTACAATGTTTTCAAAAACACAGAGCTAAAGGCTTGGGGGTCCTTGTAGTGCTTTGCCCAACTAATTACTCTCAGCTACCTCTTGAATAAAATCTCTCTCACGGTAAACAGACCAAGGTAAATCTGCCACTTTGTACAAAATAAGGAAGATTCAGGGTAGTAGGCCAAACGACGAAATTCAGGAAAGTGGCGGACGTTTCAATAAACCAACCTTTCAACCTCTTTTTTTTCACCACCAAAAGCAGCCACCGTTCGCATAGATGAAATGACTTCATCAGCCACTGACCCTGCTCTGGCGTAGGCCTTCAATTCATAGTCAGTAAACTTGGACACACTCTAAAATTCAAAAGAAGAAAACAAAACCAGGGAATTAAGTAAGTCAGTCTGTCATTCAGTGATTCATTTAGCAGAGTAAGTACGTGGTGTGGTTTCGTACAAGACTAGATTCTCTCCGTTAACGGTGTTCACGGAGGAAAGAATCTGGTCCAAGTTTGACCCGTGTTAAGCCCCATCCACGAATGTCTGGTTGTTAGCATACCAAAATGACTTCTTTAGAAGTCAGCCTCAAAAACCTCACAGAGTAAGTCCCCAATAGGGAATTCTGTGAGACCACAGTGTTTCATTCATTATACTAATGAAGTTTGCAGGTGACTCCATATCACATTGCATTGCTATTGACCACAGGACGTTTGCACAATTTACGGACAAACACCAGAGACAGAGACTGGAGCTTAGTCAGAGTATATAATTGGGAGAGAAGTCCTGACCATACAGAGGCTCATGATACTGCAGAGGTAATTGCACAGGAGAAAGCTCCAGATAAATATTACACCATTTTGACTCAACTGTAGGGGCTCAACTAACTAAAGAGCAAAGTTAAAAACTTTGCTCTTTACAAAAGGAACCAAAAAGACATTACACTTAATATTTAACAAATTACTTTTTCTAAAATTGGACTTGGACTGAGTTGTAATTAGAATTAATCACCAAAGAAATCCCTGGCACAGATGAAGATACCAGAATGAACAAAAGCAAATATTGTAGAAGTTCGACTAACTCAGAAATCTAAAATATATATAGTACCCAGACTAAAGGAGTTTATCTTCCAAGTTTTTCCAAACTTTTAGCAGTTTAACTCTTCTCAAACAAAATCTTAAATGGAATTCTAAGATACAAAATAAGTAAATGCAGTATTGTTACAACAAATTTATGTCACAAGTCCACACTTTATAAAAGTTGTGAATTGAAAAGGCAACAATAGGGAAAGTAGGGCTATTTTCATCAACATGAAAATATGAATTTAGGTGTTACGAATGACGTTACAGTTTTTACCACAATCCTCTTCTAATTTATTTCTAAATTATGTATTGAGGAAATTAAGTAGTTGTGAATATTAATAGTTTTACTGTAATTTAATGTACATTAAATAATCTCAGGATACTCCCATTAAATTGATACGGGAGTTTAAAGATGTAAATTGGAAAATATTTAATGATTGTTCATGATTCTCATGGTAAATATAAAAGTTAGATTTACCATTCTCATGGTAAATATAAAACCCACAATAACATGTAACATGTCATATATTTTGCCCGCTCTTACTTTTTTTTTTTTCCTTTGGGTCCTGCTTTTGAACTGCTCAGTGAAGTTGCTTATATCATTTTATACAAACATGCACAGACTTGAATTCAAGAAGAAACCAGTGCAGAGCTACAACATTCCAAATCAGTGACACATTTACAAGAACTTGGAATATGGGCACTTGAGATAGCAAGAGAAACCATGCCCTAAGCCTGTTAAAATCAAGTTACCCAGGCTACATCTCCACTGTGTTGAAATGTGACATCTGACTCATCTGAGTATGAATATTAACCACAGGTTTGAGGAAAGAAATTAAGTATATGGGGGCGGGGGGAAGCTGAATCAAATGTTCGCAGAATCCCTGAAGATCCCCCACGGATGGTGAGGCTTCCCTGGAGTGAAGCTTGAGAGTGTTTAGTAGGAAAGACTATCAAAAAGCTCACACGTTATGGTGGATTGGAAAAAATAAAAGCTAGTGTCTCTCGAGCAATTAATTCTGTGCCAGATGCCACACTAAATTCATAACATGGATTATGCCTTAAGTCATCACAATGACCTTTATCCTTCTCTTCAAGATGAGGAAGCTAAAGTTTTGACAAGCTAAATATATCTTTCTTGAGCCAGATGGTAGAGTCAGGGGCTGACCTATTGAGAGGAGTGAGCTCTTTGCCTTTGTCAGTCTGTACTACCTGGGAAATATTTGAGTAATATAGCCAGTCGATTGTTGAGAATATTTTGCTAGAAACTGTTATGGAGATTGGTTTCCTGCTGCCCAATGATGGGAGTGTATTCAGCTTTCCACCTGAATTCTATTCTCATTTACAGCAAATTATTAGTTTGCCTGATCCTGTGACCTGCTATCTGATGTGTCTGCTCTAAAAGTATGATATAAGAATTTATTAATCCTTGAGAGTGTTTTCTAATGGATGACCCAAAATTCCTACTCCTACACTTTTTCTTGGCCTGCATGCCTGGGGAATGGGGATACCTCTGGAAATGGGTCAAGTGACCTCTTCCTGAAACTGATCAGACTGCATGGAGAGCACAGATGTGAATGCAGAAATCTCCTTTATGTGTTTGTTACTGATCTGAGTACATCTGTTGGGCCTTTTTGAAGAAAACATCTGAGCTTGGGAGACCATGGGAAGCAACAGGCATATGAGAGAGTGGATGGGGATTTGGAATCAGGCTCCTTTGTATTTGAATCCAGTTTTGTCACTCACTAGCTGTGCAGTCCCAGACAAGTCTCTTTACCTCTCTGAGCCTCCATTTCTTATGTTTAAAATGGCATTAATGCTTTATAAGATTGTTGTAAAGATTAGAGATAATAAATATGAAGTTCCTAATAGTGCGTGGCAAAAGAGTAAATGCTCAATAAATGTAGTTGTTATTGTTATTAATACAATAATATTTATGTTATTAAAATATCATCAGTCCCTGGATTGATGGAATGTTATTTGATACTGAGGAATAACCAAACAAAATAAATCAAAACAGTGATAAATAATATTGACTAAACATACGCAGGAAAAAGGAATCAAGTTTCACATTTCTGGCTGTTTCTCAGGGCAGATGTCCTGGAGAAAAGTGATAAGACATTCTTACCAGACCAATGATGGCTGCTCCAATCCCGATGAGAGGACTCACAGAGATAATGACCAGGGTCAGTTTCCAACCCTGGTAAAATCCCAGCAGGAACCCACAGATGCTCGTGGTCATGCGCTGAATGAAAATGGCCATTTGGTCGGCAATGGCATCATTGACTTTGTTAATATCCCTAGAAACAAGAGACTTGGATCACTAAAACTGAATTTGGTCAATTCAAATGCCTTGTTGAGAAATCCCAGGCTTTCCCTGCTACTGCCATCTCTGTACCCCATTGCCTAGGAGAAACATAACAGCCTTTCACATGTGAAGAAACCTGCTATAGCTTGTGAGGCCATCAAGCCTCTCCCTCCCTCACAGCCAAGTAAAGTTTTCCTCAACCCAGGTTTGCCAAATGGTGTCCATTCAATGTTGACAAAGACTTTCAGAAACCATCTTATCTGTGCCTTTCTTTCTTGTAGTTCATATTCTTGGTCTGTCCTGAAGAACCCTACTTTCCTTCTTTATACCTGCTAAATCCTTTCAGCCTCAAGGTGCAACCCACACACTACCTAATTCGTAAAAACCCTCGAGCAAAAACTAATATCGTCCTCCCTGTGTTTGCATAGCAATGTAATGAGTCTGTGTTTGTGTGTGTACGGGTATATAATTATTGCATTCTGCTTATAGGCAGTATAGAATAGTGGTTAAGATCACAGACTGTGGGGCCAGACTCTGAATTTGAGCACAAGCTTTTCCTGGGCAAATTACTTAAACTTTCTGTGCCTTAGTTTCCTCATCTGTAAAACAGGGATAAAGACAGAACCTACCTCAATGGGTTGTAATGAGGATTAGTTAATATATATTAAGTATATAGAAGAGTGCTTAGAGTATAGTAAGCTATCAATGTGTCAGCTTTGTTTATTTATTTGCTTGCAACTTTTATCCCTCCTACAAGGCTGTAAGTTCCCTGAGATCAGGAGTTGTGTGGTTTATCTTTATGGCTTACATATGGTAAGTCCTCTAGAATATTGGTTGAATACAATTACATTAAATTCATATTCCTAGGAACATTCTCATAATCTCTTGTTTAGATGGAGCAAACAGGGCTTAGGACTTAATAGCAAAAAAAGGACCTAAGATATTACCCAGAGATTTGACAATTGTATTCCAGCAAGGTTAAGTATTTATTCAAAGTCACAGTAAGTAAGGGGCAGAATGAGTGCTAGAATCTAAGTATCCCAACATTCAGTCTTTGATCTTCACTATACTACACACATGGGACCTCATGGGACCCCAAAGTTCAATTCAATAGGGTTCAATTGCTTCTAATTACTCAGGGCTCTTTCAGAATACTTGGAGGAGGAAGGGAAGGGGGGCTATCAATCACCCCAACTGGTCTTTAGGTATAAACCAGATTTAAATCCAATTGTTTAGTTTCAATCTTTCTCAAACTACTTTGGATTTTTTTTTTTTTTTGGTCTTTGTTTTTATGTGCAGAAATGGCCTCAACAGACGAGGCAAGATAATTCATTCTAAGTACATTGTTTTTCCCTATAGACACATGGACTGTGACATCTCTCACTCTCTCTTTTAGAGGCCAAATAGCCCTACTTCTTTTAACTCTCTTCTGTAATCCTTCATTTCTAATATTTTAATCAAGGGCCTACAAACAAAATTGTAGTATCCTGGCTTTCAATTGTTAATGATCATATCGGATAAAGCATTACCTATGAAAAAACATGCTACCCGTAAAAGCCCAACTTAAGAGACAAAATATATCCAAAATAACTGAAAATGTGTTTCTAATTGTTATTTAATTTAGAAACAAGTGTTCTATGATCAAAAGCGGACACACATATTAAAACCTCCTACCAGCCACTTACTCAGAAAATCTTGTATTCAGCTCTCCCACGGAATTGCAGTCGAACCATCCTATTTCCATTCGCATTACTTTCCTAAAGGAAATTTTTCTCATTTTCTGTATCTGACGAGCTGCAGCAATCACCCAAAAGCATATCTGAAAATGGAGCAAGGATGTTTGGCATTGTGGTGTTAAAAATATTCATTCATTCCTTCTCTTTTCAGAAGAAAATACTTTCAATATAAGCCTTGAGAAAGAGAGGAAAGTGATTCACAGAATGCCGAGTCATGGGACGTGCTGTGTGAGCTCAGGCACCTGCTGCTGAAAGCGGGGTGAGCAGAACAGCTGTGGCCAGGGAAACCGGAAGGCTTGGGTGTGAATTTGGTTTTGCCACCTGTAGATCTAGCCTTACCAAGCTTCACTTTCTGCATGTGTAAAGGAAGGCTCACAGTGCCAAAAAGAAATTCTTGCTCTTATATCCCTATTTTTGCAAGGAGCTTCTGAGTGTATTCCCCCCCGCCATCGCCCGAGAGGCCTGCCAACAAGTATGTATGCATAGTTTTCAGACTGTTGGACAATGATTTTTCAGAGAAAGGAAGACAAAAACAGATTAGCTGTCCCCAACCAAGCAAAGTCAGGCTGTAATTGAAACTCTCAGTACTAGAATGGGAAAAATGGATTCATTTCTCTTTACAATGAACATGAACTTCCCGGAATTCTTGAATGAATGCGGGTTGAGGGGATTCATTATTTCTTCTACAGAATAAGGTAAAAGATGAAATATTTTTCTTCTTTAATAAAGGTTAAGTAACTCCAGGCCCTTCCATGGCTTAAATCTAGACTAGATTCACTTTACAGAATTGGGAATGGGACACAGATTGGTGAGATTTTAGCAGTGAAAGAGAAAAAAAAGTAAAGTTTGCTTTCCTCCAACTCCTCATGCCTGGCTTTCTCCAGGGTGCCCACACTCCCTTTACAAACACACCTACAACGGCCTATTTTTGAGTTTAGAAGATGAGATAGAGGGGGTGGGGGAGGACAGGGCATTGAAATTCAGTCTAGTCACTGTCCCTCTAGACAACTGCATGTATTTTCCTCCCTGTCTGAGAAGAATCCTGCCCCATTCTCTCACCGCCCCCCACCTCCAAATAAAACTGTAGTCCTTAGGGCTTCCAAACAACCTAAAAGTTAAAGAGTGCACTTTGCAGTTCATTGTAATGTCTCTGAGCCCAGATGTTGTTCTATAAATAAAATGGAGGCACCACTCACTTGAATATATCCTGTGATAAGTACTACCAAAGCGATCCCAGCATAGTAACTGGCAAATTTGATCATTTCACTTTCAATGTCCAGCAACCTTCAAAAGAGGGGGGGGGTAAATGTTAAGATTCAGAAGTAGGGTCAAGCTTACCAAAGATTACATTTGCGGGTACAGAGGAAAATAAAATATGAAATATGGGTAAGGCTTCTTACCTATGTAGAATTATCATCGATCCAACCAAATCTCTACCTAGACCTCGTGTGGTACCAACTCCAGCAAAGCTGCCTACTCCCTTCGCTTTCATTTTGTTTTTTTAAAAGATATTATCTATTTATGTGAGAGAAGGAGAGAGCGCATCAGTGGGGGGGGGGGAAGGGCAGAAAAAGGGAGAAGCAGACTCCCCGCTGAGCAGGGAACCCCATGCAGGGCTCAATCCCAGGACCTCGGGATCATGACCTGAGCTGAAGGCAGACGCTTCACCAACTGAGCCCCCCAGGCGCGCCCGCCCCCTTCCTGCTTATAGGCAGAAATGACTCACTGGCAGTTGGAAGCCAGGGGCAGTAGACAGCAGCCCAGTGCTCTGTCTACCGAGGCCCTTCACTCCAGCTCGTTACTCAGTGATGGAGTAATCAGTGCTAGGGAGAGGTTTTAAAAAGCCAGACTGCTGTCTGCAAAGACACTGACGTGAACTGTAAATCAGGAGGCTTTACTATTACCTCCTCCAGGAATCTAAGCCAGCTTTCCAACTCTTCCATCTCAAAGTGACACTCAAAAAATGTGTGTGTCATCATCCCAAAGAAGGACAAAAACACTTTATCAGCCAGTCCTTCTGCTGACTGTAGCCCAGGGGGTTTCACTCTGTGGGACAATTTCTAAGGTGAGAATTTGTGGGGAATAGCGAGAAAGCTCCACAGCGTTTTTTTCAGCGCAACTACCACGCTGTGGCACAGAGCTTGGGGATTGGCAAGGCTAGGGAGGGGAGGCACAAAGCAGTCTGAAATTGCTTTCAGAAAATAAAGAATAGGGTACTTGGAACATTGACATCTTGGTTGATAACAATTCTGACCCTTGAGGATGCTCTAAACGATAGCAAATCCATTTCTTTAGAAAACCAGAAAGCAGCATCTTCCACAGAGATGCTCTCATCCTCTGAGCTCTCTGCTTCCCGTCAGGCCTCTCTTCTGCGACCCAAGCTTGAATTGTTCTCTCCCTCTACTGAACTTGGACTACGTGGTGAAGTAAAATTTCTTTAATTCAGAACAAGCTATTATTATTATCATGCCAGATTTTATTGCCATCTTGCACTATTATTCAATATCTTCATTGAATATATTTATACTGAATAGATTTATGTTTATTTGCTAGATTGCAAGCCACTTGAGGGCAAGGGCTTGGTTTAGGCTGCTTGCTCACACTGCCCGAAGCCTTGCACAATACCTTACACATAGCAGACACAATACCTCAACAAATGTTTCTTTATTTCACTTTGACTTTTAAAATACTTATAAGGAAGGGATATAATTGCCTTGGTCAATCCTTCTTTGGAGGGATAGTCTCCAAAACAGCTAATATGTCTGTTCACCACATTTCTGGTCTTTTATGATGGTTTAAGGGAACCCCAAGAATGAACAAGACCTAAAAAAACTTATATATAAGTATCCACAATCAGAGGTTCTCACAAAAGTTAAGTATCTCTGGATAGGATGCATAATGAAGAAAAAGACTTCTAATGTGTAAATGAGGCCATACTCTTAGTTTTCTGTGAAATTTTTCATTGTGAAATGAAATTAGGGTGTCCAAAAACAGAGAACTTGGAGTATTTGTCAAAAAAAGTTTTACTTGGATTTCCTGTGGTGCATTCCTTCTACACACGCTCTAAGCAGAGGAGACAAAATGGCTGCCATGAAAGACACAGCTGCCAGGTACAAACAGACCCACTCACACTGAAAATACTGAGCACTGACCCAGCTCCAGAATTTATTGGGGCAAACTTCAGGAGAATTATGTCATTGCTGGATGGTATGGTTAAGGACATGTGTAGTTTATGATTCAGTTCATTCCTGAGGCAACCCAAAGATGAATGATGAACTCATTTTTATTTTATTCTTGGGGATAAGAAGTTATTAGGATTTTAGAAACTACTTGAGAATATTTCTGGAACAACAGGACAAACCTGTCAGACTGATAGGAAGGAAACAAGCAGGCTGGCTTGGCTCCTTTGACTGCACATCAAATTTTTTATCATCTGGTGGAAAGTTTTCTTGTGGTTATAAAATCCTGGAAAGGATTTTTTAAAGTATGCAGGCGATTTGGCTCACCAAATGGGTGCCTTTCTTTTTAACAGCAAAATTGACGTACATCTACTTGACTAAATTAAGATTCTCCTGGCTCATTTGTTGAAGAGAGGAGAGGGCAGAAAGATGACAATTAGGGGGGAAAGGTAAGATATATTTTACAAATTATTAAGATACGTGGATTCTTACTTGCTTTTAATGAAAAACAAATGCAGCATAAAATCAAAGTACTCATTTTATACCTCAAGGTTTCAGATTTACTAAAGCCATAGGACTTTCGTTTTAAATACCTAGGAGGTTTATGACAAGGTGCATTGCTTAACATGGAGTTTTCCTTTCAATGGTTTTCATGCACAGTAGACCCGGTAGCATTAACATTTTAGAGTGAAATCAGTGTCAACTCCAAAATGAGCAATACAGGTTGGCAGAAATGTGCCCACATCCTACTCTCAGAATGTTGGAGGCTCTGTCTTAATGCACAGGACATCAACCTGTGGACAAATGGCTGATCACTGGGTAAAGCTGCTTTACAGAACATCTATACACTGTGGTAGCTTACTGTCAGAATGGCTGGAATTTCCTTTCAGAGAATCTATGACAGTTTTTTTCACCCAGGAGGCTATTTTTTTGTCGGTTTGTTTTTCATGCAACTTTTTCATTTGAGGTAAGTGTGGATTCTCATGCAATTGTGAGAAGTAATACAAAAAGATATACACCCTTTGGTAATACCTTGCAAAACAACAGGACAATATCACAACCAGGATGTTGACATTGATATAATCAAGATCAGAATGTTCTCATCACCCCAACGATTGTTCATGTCACCCTTTTACATCTACACATGCTTGCATCCAGCCTCCACTCTCCCCTTAGTCCCTGGCTACCTCCTATCTGTTCTCTATTGCTACAGTTTTGTCATTTGAAGAATATTATACAAATGGAATCACACAATATATAACTTTGGTATTGGTTGGATTTTTTTTTACTCAGCATAATTCTTTAACGTTTCATAAGTTATTTGTTCCTCTCTATTGTTAAGTAGTATGCCATGGTACAGATATATCACAGTTGGTTTAACCACTCACCCATTGAAGGATATCTGGGCTGATTCCAGTTTTTGTTACAAATAAAGCATCTATAACCTTTACGTATAGCTTTTTATGTAAACATAGTTTTCATTTCTCTGGGATAAATCCCCAACAGTAGAATTTCTGGGTTATATAACACTTGCATGCTTTTTTTTTTTTTTAAATTGCCAAACTATTTTCCAGAGTGGCTGCACCATTTTGCATTCCCACCAGCAGGGTATAAGTGATCCATTCCTCCACATCCCCACCAGCTCTGGTGTTATTACTATTTTTATTTTAGCCATTCTGATAGATTTGTGCTGATATCTCATTTTTATTTTAATTTGTATTCCCTAACCACCAATGTTGCTAAATACCTTTTCATGTGCTCATTTGCTGTCTTTATATCCTTAGTGAAATGTCTGTTCATGTGTTTTTCCCATTATTCAAATGGGAGTTTTTCTAACCATTGAATTTGGAGAGCTCTTTTTATTTTCTAGATCCTAGTCCTTTGTTAGATACATAATTCACAAATATGCTCTCCCAGTCTGTAGATTTTCTTTTCATCCTCTTCACAGGGTCTTTTGCGGAGCAAAAGTTTTTCATTTTGATGAAATCCAATTCAACAATTTTTCTTTTTATGGATTGTACTTTTAGTGTCAAGTCTGAAAGCTCTTTGTCTAGCCTTAGACACGAAAATGATTGCCTACATATTTTTCTAAAAGCTTATAGTTTATTTCTAACATTTAAGTCCAAAATCCATTTTGAGCTATTTTTTGTATGGGTTCATTTTTTCCCTATGGATGTCCAACTAGTCATGCACCATTTGATAAAAAGTTTATATTTTCTCCATTGAATTTCCTTTCCACCTTTGCCAACAATTAACTGGACACGTTTGCTTGGGTCTATGTTTGAGTTCTCTGCTCTGTTCCTCTGTCAATACCACACAACCTTAATTGCTGTAGCTATATGTCTTGAAATCAGGTAGACTGTTTCCTCACACTTTATTCTTCTTTTTTAAAGTTGTTTTAGATATTCTAGTTCTTTTGCCTTTTGATATAAATTTTAGAGTTATCTTGTCTATATCTATAAAAATATCTTGCTGAGATTTTGATAGGAATTTTATTATAGCTATATATCAGTTAGGGGGAATTGACATCTTTATTATACTGAATTTGCCAGTTCATTAGCAAGGTATGTCTCTCCATCTATTTAGGTCTTAGATTTCTTTCATTAGCATGTTGCATTTTTCAGCATATAAATCCTGTACATGTTTTGTTAGATTTACACCTAAATAAATTTTTTGAGCAATTGTAAATGACATTGTATTTTGTTTTGTTTTGTTTTAATTTTTGGCATTATATTTTGAATTTTGGTGCCCATATGTTCAATGCTAGTATGTAGAAATACCACTAAATTTTGTATATTTATCTGGTATTTTATGACTTTGCTAAACTCATTTATTGGTTCTAGGATATTTTTGTAGATCCTTTGGAATTTTCTATGTTGACAATAATATCATGTCCAACATAAATGGGTGTATTTCTTCCTTTTAGATTTGTATTTTTTTCATTAAAAATTTTTTGATTGTGATAAAGAACACATAACATAAAATTTACCAACTTAACCATTTTTAAGTGTACAGTTCAGTAGTGTATTAAGTATTAAATCAATATTCCTTTCCTTCCTTATTGTATAAGCTAGAACTTTGAGTATTGTGTTGAACAATAGCAGT